TTCGCGGTCTGCGCCTTGCCATTAGGCTACTGTCGCTTCACTTTTTGGTCAAACTATTACCAATTTCGGGTCCATCATAACATCATAATTATAGTAAATGTCAAAAGATATAATAATAAAATGAAAATAAAGCATAAAGACGCACAAAAAAACTGTTTAGTTATTCATGAATAAATTCTTGGATTGAGTAGTAAACCTTTTCAACCAATAGAGCTTTAAGGGGAAATATAATGTCAAATGGCTTAGCAAGATCCTTCGTTATGCCGAAAATATTGCAGCATTAATTTTGAAATAAATATATGGTAAAGTTGAGGATTAATGTTAATGATTATGTTAGACGAAAACACGATTTCGTAAAATTTTCTCGATAGAAAAAAAATCCAAAGTTACCTCCAAAATAAACAATAAACCGCTGTTATTCATAAAATACTTTAAATAAGATCATGAAACTTTGCATACTAACTGAACTAACTATAAAGCAGTGCTCATGTTATTTACTTTTTTTTAAAATACCATTATTTTCACGGTAAAAAGAAATTACCTAAACTATCGGCGTCTTGAGCTTGATACCTGTCGCACCGTTAGTATCGCTTAGGCTTTTGAAGGGAAAAGTTGTGTCGCTTACGATCAGAATATACATTACGCAACAGTACGACGTAAAATTAAAATGGGAAATAACCGTTATAAAAATAAGAAGCGGCTGGCTTGGCGTTAAGAAACAGGCATAAATATGATAAACCTAATGAAATAAGTGTCTAACGACCTTTCTACTTACAGTATTAGTGATTACAAACATGTCGGTACATAGCATACGACGCGCGGGGAAGTGGGGGCGAAATTAGAATTTGAGCTGACTTACTCTATCCTCTTAAGTTTTTTTTTTTTTTTGAAGTCTTCTACATATTTCATTTTCTTTAATATTGTTAGGCAAATAATTGTAGATAATAGGAGCTATCCCTAATATACTATGCCGCAGTAGGTACACTAACAATTTTATATTTTAATCGTTGTGTTTTTCTTTTTACCCTCGACGTAAACAATGACAGGTTTGAATGCACAAATGTTGTTACTTCATTTATGTAATAAGCTAGGAAGTGTCAAAATTTCTGTCACTCTCTCACTGCCTCTCTTTTTCATCAAAATACAGACAACGATGACCTCTAACTCTCTTCAAGTCTAACATATAGGGGAGAATTTTGCAATAACAATATTAAATATAAAATAAATTGGCTTTATCACAATTCATCTTTACTTTAAGTGCAAAGTAAATAATTTAAGAAAAAAACACGCACACAATCTAGCGAACTACCTTCAAAATGAGCGAACAAACAACGGCACTAAAGTCAGGGATATTTAACTATTTACTCATTACTTCAGTTATCAAGGCGGAATAAAGCCTGGTTCCTATATTCAACAAAAAGTTTCGTTTACCGTAACGATTAGTTTAATTGTGCTAATAATAGTAATTTATTATTAATTACATAATTTGAATTTGCACTATAGCCCACCAAATCTAAGAAATACCTTTTGACGTTTCACATTAATCATTCCGCAATAACTTTTCACAAGCGTACTCACACGATTTAAAATAACCATTTACGTAAACCCGAAAAATTATAAAGTTATTTATATTTCTTTACATAACGTGTATAGTTTTTAATGATTTCTTAAATTCACGCGAACACTAACCATTGAATTAGTTTTACTAAATTTACGGATTTTATCGCGTTTACTTCACTACTTTTACTTATTTTTAATTCTCGACGTTTCGGGTGCTTTACAGCACCCATGGTCAGGGGGGACTGAGATGTTTGACGTCCCAATGTCGTAGTTAGTCCGGCTACCTTCAGTTTTTGAATACTAATTTTTGGTCAGATTTACGCAAAACGATCTTATAGTATCATGAAGTCTTGCGGTGGTACGCTTGGGTTTGGGTTTAATTTTGTTAATTATAGGATCCCAAGCAGCTGGCAGCCCCCCCCCATCTTCTCTATTGAAATTAGGCTGTTTTTTTTAATTTCAATAGCCTCGCGTATCATCCTGGGTAGAAATAGGTGTTGTTTTGTGAGGATTTTTGGTTTATCAAATCGAATGTAATGGTGAGGACGATCTTGAACATGTTCGCAGACTGCAGACTTCCCGGAGCGTCGGTGCTTCACGTCAGCTATATGTTCTTTCACGCGGGTTTTATGGATCTTTTTGTTTGATCTATGTAAGAGAGACCACATTCACAATCTAACTTGTACACTCCTGCATCTTGTAGAGGGATATTACACTTGACGGATGGTAAAAATTGACTAATCTTCTTCGGATTCTTGTAGAGCAGACTGGGGCTGGTAGTGACAGGGGTAGGTAGTTACAGCGGCAACGGTGGCTAAACTGAGAACGCTGTATTGTCGTGAGAAAGATACAAATGATCACGCGACCATCGGCTAGCACGCCGCGCGAACCTGTGGCGCCAGGGCTTCGCTGAAACAAAGATTTAACTTCACAGTTAGCTACCGTGGGTAAATCTTTGTTTCAGAGAGCACGAGGGATCTGTGACAGAAAACATCTGGCCACCTAGCTTCAGCACGTCAAGCAAGTATTGCAAGACAACGAGCTTCGGATCCGCCTACGTCACAGTGACCGAGTGAAGCCGGCCACAGTCGAGCGTGTACCTTCTGTACTACAATATGTCAGAGAAGTCACAGACAAGGTTGGCTACATCTTGAAGCGAGCTTCCATTAAAACATACTACAAGCCGCCGAAGAAGATTAGTCAATTTTTAACATCCTTCAAATGTAATATCCCTCTACAAGATGCAGCAGTGTACAAGTTAGATTGTGAATGTGGTCTCTCTTACATAGGTCAAACAAATGATCCATAAAAACCCGCGTGAAAGAACATATAGCTGACGTGAAGCATCGACGCTACGGGAAGTCTGCAGTCTTCGAGCATGTTCAAGATCGTCCCCACCATTACATTCGATTTAATAAACCACAAATCCTCGCAAAAGAACACCGATTCCTACCAAGGATGATACGCGAGGCTATTGAAATTAAAAAACATCAAATTTCAATAGAGAAGATGGATGAGTGCTGCCACCTGCTTGGTAATTTCAATATCCTGCCATTTCGGATGCTTACTGTGCGTAATTTTGTGTTTGTCTTCTTATTTTGTGACTCGGCTCTGAATTTTTGAACTGTTTCTTGTATATTCGTTGAAGCATGAGCCCATGTCCCAAAGGAGCACTGGGCAAAAGTGGAAGAAAAAATAAAAAAATATATTATGGATGACTTTGAAAGAGACATTAATTTTGACTGCATTATTGAAAATCAATAATTATTCTAAACATCTACAGCTCAACTACTTGTACTGAAAGTGATTGAATAAATTTATTTTTAATCTAGTTTTAATCTTAAATTATTATAACTGTGCCTCTAGAAATAAGCAGTAACAACTAACACGCGGTTACGCGGAAACGATCGTGTATTTTAATTTTATTCGAGGGTATATTTTGCCAAGTGTTTATCCTTCCTTTGACCTCATATTCCTTCCGTAAACACACTGAGAGGGGAAAGAGGAGAGGCTAGAAGGTGGCGTGATTCTTTCGACCAATGAGAAGCGCGCCAACCGAGATGCATTGGTGGGAAAGCCGAAGCAATATAAGCTCGCGCGCTGCCCTCGAGTGCTCTCTTGTCACGCTTTCTTGCCACGCTCCGCTATTCTGAACCGCATCACCTGGAGCAGTCGCGCTCCAGAAGTAACCGCCTCACATAGTGTGAGATATCGTCGCGCACCGCTCTCTTTCTTCGCACCACTGGCCTGGATCGCATCTCTGGGGCACCCTAGAAGAACCCACCTCACGTCGCATCACAGCAACGGAAACGCCTCAGCCGCATCGAAGTCACACCACGGTAAGTGTGTTTTTCCTATAATTCAGTGCCTGCTTGAGCATTTGTTTGTTAGTTAACCCGCCCCATTTCATTTCTCCTAACGTGCTTAAGCAGGATTCCTTCATAACCTTGGCAAGCAATAGATTTCGGAAGAGCGAGTGCATTGTCAAGGAACCGCGTGCCACATCCGCCATCTTGTTGAGACAGAAGAAGCTTCCCGCGTATACAATCCATCTAGTATAACATCTCGCGTAATAGAGTCAAGGCTCGACCGGGGAATCGAACTCGGGAACCCAAAGGCCCGCCGCCCAACCACGTAGAAACTGATATAAATCTTGTGTTTGAAATTTTCCGTTTTTAATTTAGTCCTGTAATATTCAAACCAAACTGTAAATGATTACCCACTCTAAATAATCGATATCGATTTTTTTAAGAACCGAATATTATACGTTCCCATTTTTAGTTGGCATGTCTGGTGCAATAAGTCTGACAGCTGTCAAAATGTATTTCTTAGATTTGGTTGTGGTTTTGATTTTTGGTTGTATTTTTAAACTTAGTCTCTTTCCTTTTTAAAGTTTAATTAGATTTTTATCATTAAAAAATATGCAAATGTCTCTATGACTATAAGAAGTTATGACGTAGGATGAATAGAACCGGGCATTATTATGCGTAAATCCATTATATTAAAGTAGTGTCTTAGCTTTGAAAAGCAGCTCTCGACATCCCTCATTTGCGCTATAGAGGTCAGTCATCGTAGAGTCTATTTCTCCTGATGATGCTTCGTTTAGAGTATAGGCTTGGGTTAAAAATATCGAAATATCGATATTTTCTCCTAAATGTATCGATATATAACGTTGATATTTTTAAATCTCGATATATCGATATTCGATATCTATTTTGGAGTATTGAATTCGTATCAATTTTGATATATTTTAAAATGTTGTATTAATCGACAAAAAATTAAGCAATAAAAATAGCTACAAAAGTACCCTTGATGTATAGGTTATGTAACTTAAAAAAAACCGTTAAAATCTGTTCACAAGGTTGGGAAGATATCGCGTAAGAAAGATACAAGAAAAAACAGTTTAATTTAAAATGTCCTCCATTTTTTTAAAGAGGCTATTAAAAGTAAATAATCAAACATCCTTCTGACTGCGCAACCCGATACAGTAACACCTCACCGTTCGCTAGTACCGTGCCCGTTATGTAAGCGCTCTCAGTCGTGAACCTTTGGTCCCTCCTCTCGATTTCTGATGCTTCAAAACTCGTGGAGGGTAGCTTTCCGTAATCTATGAGTGAATATTTGCCGCTAGATTCCGTGCCGCGGCGACACGGAGTTGCAATACTATAAAACAATGACTCAGTTTGACAAAAATGATTTTTTTAAGTATCTCAAAACTGTTGAGGGTATTTGACCACTTTCGTTGAGGGTATTTGATATTTGAGAAGTTTTTAAGAAACATTATAAGTATTAGCACAACCATAGAATACTACAATACACAATAGAATGGCTATCAACTTTATTTTATACGAGGGCTGGCGTCGCCAAACCTGATTCGCTGTGTTGACAGACTGAGTAAATTTACACATTTTAGACTTTTGATTAATGTTCAAGATCCTCATTAAATTTTAATACATATTTATTTGTAAACAGGGTGCAATTTGGCATTTTCTAAATAATTTGGAAACGATTGTAACGTCAAAACACATCCCGTGTTGACATTTATACGTGTGAATTGACGTGTAAGTGACATTTTAGTGGCTACGCGGGCTCCGCCCAAGCCCCCGTTCTATTATGTATGTATTATAGTATTCTATGGGGGCAACAGTATACAGTAAGCAGGCCATATGTAGAGTGTTACCTGACGTGTTCTATTATGTATGTATTATAGTATTCCATGAGCACAACAAAACTGTTTAGGTATATAAATTTCAATCCAAAACTTACCGCCTATTAGATTTACTTATATCGCAATCGTCTGTCGAAGACGAACTAGTCTCTCTAAACCTCTCTATAGATGGTGCTGTCTTTGTAATCAAAATATTATCGGAAGTATCGCAGATTATCTCCGAACTGCCCTTAAATTTCTTGGGCAAAGAAGTTTTAACCGCAGAATCGTCATTTTCCGAATCTGTCTTCACGCCGGACTCTCGGAGACGTCTTACCCTTTTCTGCGCCAATTTCGACTTTGAGGTCGGAGTAGAGCTGCGCCTTTTTGGTATGAATGGCCCTATGGACACATTGTCTTCGAGGGTACTAGACGCTGTCAAATTCTTCTCGGCTTCGTTCTTTTTGTCTCCCACAGGCGCTGGAAGCTTAGGTAAATCGAAGTACTTTAAAATTGAAGATTTTCTACATAACACATCTACTTTAATCGGACTACACGCGTGACTTTTATTCTTTTCGGGTAACTCTTTCCTCTTCAAAAAGTCCAGTAGTCCGCCATCTTTCTTATCGCTTTCTGGCGTCTGCGAGTCGCTAGTATCGTGCTCTTTAGCCAATATCTCTATCGATTCAATGAACTGCGCCCATCTCGATATTTTGTTAGTTTTCGATTTTTTCATCGGCTTCGGATCCGCCGAGCTGCATCGATTAGGCGAACAGTCGTAAATCGTCATGATAGGGATCGGAGAACTGCGAGTCGATAGTTCCGTGTGCTTGCCTACTGCTACATCGGCTTAGCATAGCGTGTTTACAATTAGCATATACGTGCAGGGGATTTTAGGAGGGTTAAGGAAAAGTTTGAAATAACGTTAGTAAATTCTGCATAATTTAACAATATTATACCTCACTTGTAGTATATAAGAGCGTACTATGTAATCGACACGCTGCGCCCTCCTTTCTGCCAAGGAGCGTCGCGTCCGTTTACGACTTAAAGATCTCTCGTCAGATCGTTAAACCAATCCCAAAAGTTGGTGTTTAGTGGGTAAAAGTCTCCACATAACCACACAGCCGGCTGTGTGGTATGCCAAGAGCATTCACCACCTTCCTCCCCCGTTACCGGAGGGTTGCCCTAATATGCTTCGGGCGCAAAAAAATCAAAACGCGGACTGACGCGCACCCGAGTTGCTATGACGAATCTGTGGCGCAGTGGCTTAGCAATGAGTGGCTGCACTGGGGGTCGCGGGTTCGAATCCCGCACGGAACAAGTATTTGTATGGCCTACAAAATAGTTGTTCCGGGTCTGGATGTTTGTCCTTGTGCAATTTATGTTTGTAAACTGCCCCCACGATACAAGAGAAAATCCTAGTGTCCCTAGACTAGGATTTACTTTTCACGTTTTAAATTAAAAAAACCCGAGTTGCTATCATTGTAATAAACGACGTATTGAAAAACGGCTGTCTTATTTTTAACGCACTCCCAGTTCGAGTATACCACATTACCTAGTGAATTATGATTCATTTTTTATGTACATATTTTATGAATAAAAGCCCCCTTTGAAAAAAATAACAATACAACAAATAAGAAAACAATGCGGTAATTTTAGCGGGAACTAGAACGCCGTCGAATATTTGCTCCTGTATTTATGTATTATTATTTAAATAATCAGGTGTAAGTGTAAACACCGTTGTCACTAAAACCATAGGTATTAATATAAAAATATATAGGCTTTAATATAAAAATATTTATCAGAATTAAAAAAAACGGTATTATCTTTCATAAAATTCAAAAAGTTTCTGTCCGACACCGTCTGTAAATTCATGGATACCCTATGCGCCCAAGTGACTTAATCACTGTAAAGATCACCACCCGCCCTAGCTACCTACACAACATTCCAATAAAAACACAATAGGTACACATAACCTATGATATAACTTTTCCTTCATACCTTCATCCTGGCTTAGGACAGGCAAAAATTGAGGAATTAAGGAAAAATTGAGATTTTACTAAAAAAAAGGTTGTTATTTTTCATTGAATTTACGTTCTATAAGTGAAACCATACCACTGGTTTCAAGGATAACTGAATGTAAAAATACCTGTATATAAAAATTATTTTTGTTTTTTTTATTCGCTTCTATACCGTTCATCAGATCCCGGTAAAACTTTGTCAACACATTGCTTGCACTTCCACGAAGGTTATATGCCTATAAACTTTTTTGCAGCCGGTAGGTGGCGCTATTGTAGAAGCCAGATATTATCCGTGCGAAGCCGGGGCAGATCGCTAGTTCGAAATAAATAATGCGTTTATTTCGGTAATATTGTTCACAACATATCGCTGTGACTTCCCAGTGAGTAACCAGAGGATACTCGTGTTGGAAATGACCCGCAAGTTCCCTTAAGCGGAAATATAACCTCAAATGGCTTAGCAAGATCCTCTGTTATGCCTAACATATTGCAGCATTAATTTTGAAATAAATATATGGTAAAGTTGAGGATTAATGTTAAGTACTATGTTAGAAGAAACCATGATTCCGTAAAATTTTCTCGATAGAAAAAAAAATCCAAAGTTACCTCCAAACTGAACAATAAACCGCTGTTATTCATAAAATACTTTAAATAAGATCATGAAACTTTGCATACTAACTGAACTAACTATAAAGCAGGACTTATGTTTTATATTTTTTTTAATTACCATTATTTTCACTATAAAAAGAAATTACCTAAACTATCGGTGTCCTGAAGCTTGTTTCCTGCCGCCTGGTTCCAAGCTTCAGGACGCCGATTCACAGTCGAATCATGTTTTCGTCTAACGTAGTACTTAAAATTAATCCTCAACTTTACTATATATTTATTTCAAAATTAATGCTGCAATATTTTCGGTATAACGGAGGATCTTGCTAAGCCATTTGAGGTTATATTTCCCCTTAAGGATGACAGTAAGAATACATAAAGTCCATTATATAGCTCTAGAAAATTCTTAATTTGTACGTGTAAAAGAGTGTGAGAATGTGTTGTTGTGTTGGTGTGCGCGTGCGCATGCGAGTGCGCGTTCACTTCACACTACAACGCAACCAAACGTGCTGTAACAAAATTTTAACTCAGACTTTATAAACATACATGAAATTTATTACGGAATAATCACATCTCATTCTCGTAAAAGAGAGCTTCGAACTTCTCTACTTATCACGGACCACCTGTAAGCTCTAAATGAGTGACAAACGATAAAGAAACCACCTGAAAACAACTATAAACATAGAAGGCTTCAAGGCAACACATCTTTGCCACTCGTGCGGATTTAAGATGCCTTCAAACCGGAAAACGAAAAATGCAGCACTGTTGATGTTTACCCAGATATTAAAGAGGTAGGTGCTTAAGACTGCCTGATTTAAATATTTCTCTAGAGTGGAAACTATTTACTCTTAATTAAACTATCCAAGTTCACAAAAACATGTGTTTCCCCTTTAAACCTGACGAGTCAGTTTTCCAATGAAAATTCTATCGATAATTGATAGAATCAGGCGTTACTTTGCGGAAATCCATTATAATAAAGATACCTTAATATTTAATTTGCAACTATCCGCCTATTAAATAGAATGATGTGTCTTGTAATACCACTACTCCTTGGTACTACTCGTACTGGTGTTGGGAGTGGTGCTGGGATTGGTGGTGACGGGATTGGTGCACGCAACTGAGGGAGGGCGGGAGGTGCTCTTCAATCTAGGTAAGACACATCATTGTATTTAATAGGCGGATTGTTGCAAATTAAATATTACTCTGTTGATCTTTGTGAAAAGAGTATCATAGAAAAATCACTCATAATTTAAACTGGTCTTTATGTTTACTTACATTTAATATAATAGTATGTAATCTTACTAAACAAGTGACAATGTTATGATAAATACTTTCTATTTCTTTCTTTGTACATGCGGACCAGTTTGAGCCGTATGATAGTTATAAAAATTATTTTCATACAGAGACCCCAGGCTCAATCAACTCTTAATTTTAACATTATGTATCAAACATTTCTAGATCAGAGAAATAAAAACCTCCACTATGTTACAGATATTCAAAAAACTATTTTTATTTCCTAGCAACACTTATTTGTCAAGGTAAATCTGTCAAATATCGAAAGTTGTAAGTTAATATAATGCTAAATGAAAATTTGTCATTGGTGACCGCCATAAAGGAAGACAGAAGGAAAACAAATGAAAATTAAATAAATATTTCGTTGATGGATTGCCAGAATATTTCCTACTAATTTGGTAGAAATTTGGTTACCAATTATTTAAGATTTTGAATTAAACTGTCACAAGTTTTCAGCTACACATTGAGTAAAGTAAATTCTTACCGTGTTCATTGAAGTGTTTCTCCAACTCCTCGTGTGAGATGGTCTGGGTGGCCGGCGCTTCCAGCTCCACGGTCTGCTCCGGCCTGGACCGGGAACATCTGAACAAGAATACTGTATTTAGTCACTAAATTTATATACAAGAAACACCATGATGTGACTAAATTTTAGTGAAATTGGGGCGTTTTAGTTTGTGTATCGAAATAAACTGGCAGCTCAGAGGCTAATACTTCCATATCCGATACAATGGGTGCGTTTGGCAGAAAAAAGCGCTAGCAAGCGCTTGTAAGCAAAATGGCGATCGTAAGAGGTAAACGCTGTCAAATCGTAAGTAGCTATTTTCTTCCAGGACACGATGTTAGTTTTAACCGGGGAACCTAACCTAATTTAAATATATGTTTGTAAAGTATTCATATTAAAAACTTACCAATCATGAATTTTTAATAACATGTATATGTTTATTCACGTTATTATATTACTTAAAACTAATATTGCACAAAACAACTTATAAACTCTTCTTCAAAACAAACAAATTAAATAAGCAAAATGGCGGATTGTGTCAGCGCTACTGAAGTAGTAATCGTGTCCTGGCCGAAAACTATTTTAGCGCTTGTAAGCGCTTGCTAGCGCTTTTTTCTGCCAAACGCACCCAATACTCAATACAATCATGTCCCAAAACTCCGACCAGACGGGCATGAGCGCTCACGAACATACTGAATACCAACATTTATTTTAATAATAATCTACATCTATATCTACATACATACACTAATATTATAAAGAGGAAAAATTTGTTTGTTTGAATTGAATAAGCTCCAAAACTACTGGACCGATTTGAAAAATTCTTTCACCATTAGAATCCTACATTATCCCTGATGAACATAGGCTATAGTATATTTTCAAAAAGGTCCTTATTAAAACTTCATTAAATAGAACCCACGGTGTGAAAAAATACCAAAAGAATCCTTATATCGCGTACGCTGCGGAAACTATTGACAATAGAGCAAAGTAATGTATTACAGTTTTATAGAAAATATTAATATCTACAAAAAAGTCCGAATACTGTATGTCTAACTATTACAGTTATGTCACAATAACTACTTTTTTACTTCCCACTAAGATAATCGAAAATTTTCAAAAATAAGGAAGTTATTGGTTTCAGCCCGATTTTCGAAAATCGAGTTTTCATCAGATCTCGACGTTTTGAGATCCCAGGAAGCTATTCTGACTAATTTTACGTGGACGTATGCAATAGTAACGCCGGTACAAACTAGGCCACATAAGAATTGGGGTCTTTCGCAAAAAATTCAAATATATAATCTGTGGGTTGATTATACGCAGGGGGCTTTCAGCGCACTTCGAGTACAGTATAACAATGCTTTCAGGGTGGTGTTGGGTCTGCCGCGATTCAGCAGCGCATCGTGCATGTTTGCGCAAGCGCGAACCGATAGCTTCGAGACGGTGCTGCGCAAACGGACCGCCTCGCTCATGCGCAGAATACGTGGTATGGAGTGTAGAAGTAAGGAGTACAGACTGTGTATTAAAAAGTGTCCATAGAAAACCGTTAAATAAGGGTGTCGCCACTATAGCTACGGGCTAAATTTTAAAGAACGCGCCGAAAAATATTAGTAGGATAGACGACTTTTTCGAGGTTATATTTACTAAATAAAATTATTTTAGATTTTAGAAGAAAGAAAGAAAGAAAGAAAGAAAGATTTATTGCAGCACGCCACAAACATCAGTATGCACTTAAATTTTGACACATCAATTATAAACATTATAACAAACAAAAACAAAAATAGGAAACAAAACAACAATTTGACGGATAAAACAATTTAAAAGTATTAATACTTATAGATTATAATTTAAAAAAAATAGAAAGACAAAAAGAATCGTTTCTCATATTGTACGAGTATGTTGTGGCGCGTCATACAAACGGACCTCACTCAGCTTAAGCGGCCTACATACGACACGATATCGGTGGCGATCTAGGGTGGAAAGAAATCGGGGCTTTTATCGGGGGACCTTACACACGGGCCTGCCTATCAGTACTCGTTCGGACTTGGAGCGGAAAGCATATGCGGTAGAGTTCTTCAAAATACCTCCGACTCTCTTAAAACACCACCGTGTTGGTTTGGCATTAGCCATCTCGGTTAATTTATTCGAAAATAGAAAAAGAGAAGTTGCTGGGTGAAAAATTGGCTCCAAAAGATAAAAATTAAGCCACATAAACGTACTAAATGGCCTGTAATCCAAGGACGTTATTAATTTTCTCCGGATGGATGAAGACAGTTTTTATAACCTTCTAGAAATGATTTCGCCACTTATTTAAAAATGTCAATTTCTCCTACCTATGCTATTTAGTTATTTCTTCTCTTTGTTCATTTCTGCTTTGGTCAAAATCTGGTTATGGTATATATATATTACACACAACAAACAAGGAAATAAAATACTTTTGTATAATAATATGTATACTTTTTTTTTAATGTAATCTTTATTTATGGAGTAAAACTATCAGAAAATAAAATAGCTTATATCTTTTTTTAAACATAAAGAAACCTTTAATTTCGGACATACTCCCTTTTATATAACTTGTTTGTTGATGTGGAGATGGTGAAGGAGTAGGAATTAGTTGTTGAGGAGAGGCTTTATCTTCTCCTTACATACATCATACACTCTACTTTACGAACGGCAATAAAAAAATTAGTTTAGTAGGCATTCTTGACCATGTCACTTCGCAGGGTCACAGGCTAGGGTGGATATGATTTGAATTTCGATAAAATTTCAATTAATTTATTTATTTTATTCACTTTTTTTTTGGTTTTTTGTAAAATATCAGTGCCATAGGCTTCTACTCCGTTTATATGATTAAAATGTAAAAATTTTGTTATATAAAAAAAGGTCATTCAGTATCACTGTTTTGTTAACTTCCTTCCGCGAGGGTTGCCGGCAGCGACTGCCAAAAGAAATCGGGCCGATGCGCCTACACACACGCAGTAAGGAGGGGGCGGTGCCCCGATCTAGGAAGCATCGGCTGATCTAGGAAGCATTTTTGCTCCTGCCAGCCGATTAAGGAGGCGATATCGGCCAACACTTGGATGGCCCTACATACGACACGATTTGTAGGCAATCTTGGAGGCATCCCCATTACTCCACCCTACATCGCCACCGATATCGTGTCGTATGTAGCCCGCTTTATGCTGTCGCCGGAGCAACAGCGCTGGTTTTCAGTGGGCCCGAACGGATAATAACGTACGGACGTCCGCGAGTGATACATAATAATATTCTAAAACCAATCCGTCTAACTATGCTGAAATTATTGATTACAAACCAAACAAAAGTATGTACATGTGCTTATTATACATGCACTTTATTTTTATTTTCAAAAATTTTGTTACCAGTGTGCTCTTACTTTATTAATTAATATGATACATTATTTCAAAAGTTATTATTACGTTGTATTTGTTTTCTTATATTAATATATGTATATTTTAACACTTATTTCTAAAACTTATACATAAATTACCTCAGTTATTGATTGACGACACTAAATTACACTTTTTTTTAGCCTACGGTCAGTGGAACTATCCGAACAGTATCCAATTTAAGGTTATATTATCATCACTCAACTTTATTAGTTGCGACCTTGTCCGCCTGTGCTATGTGCCAGTACCCATTTTGGTGAGTAGTACGCTTCAGCCTATGTTCTTCTGAGTTGATATTAGGTAGTTTTTATATTTTTCTTTAAAGGTTTTAATAGTTTCAGGCTACGAAGCGATTTTAGAACTACTGATCTGTTTAGCAGCACACTTAAACCGGCGACAATTGCTAAGTTCATTTCATCCCAATAGCTACTCCAGCGCTGTTGTAGAGAGTTTTTGAACCGTTATTTACTGCTTACAGATAGCCACTTTTTCAACTATTCTACTATGGAAGTTCATACTCCCTACTTCTACACTCCATAATACGTGGTAGCTCCAACACCATACAGAAGGTTATTAGTGACAAACCAGATTGTCCTGTTATGGGACACTGGGTGACAATGCATGATAAACCTTGTGCCTCAGGCGGGCCTGGATTGTAGTAAAACTAATTATTCCTAATTATTACTAACATAGTTATAACTTTTGTGTACCTACAAACCATATGCCTGTAATAAAGAGATTTTATTTTATTTCTATTTATTTATTTAGCTATACCACCTCTACACGATAAGATCGTATATTGTTGTAAAGTTTATACAGACTTACCAGATGGACTACTGGGTGGATAAGAAGTTCACACGTAGAGTTCGTGGTGGTGTGTGGTGCTTGGTGAGGTAGTGATGGAGGCGGGGGTACCTGAGCATGGCGTTGCTGCATCGCAGCGCGAGCTCCAGCCCGTCCAGCCAGCAGTGGCCGGCGGCCTGCGACGGCGCGCGGAAGATCAGGTGCGCCGTGGGCAGCGGCTGCACCACCGCACCTGCACGCGCACCAGGTAGACACCGTCACACTCATACGAACATGGCTTACCACTATTTTTCACTATTAACTGATATCATCAGACATCACGTCGGGCTTACCAATTTGTCCGAGGAAGTAAAAGGGGAGATCACCTGCCGGGCAATGTCATCAACCCGGAAAGCGGCTAACGCTCAGTAATTCTACAGAGCTGTTCTATATACAACATGTAACAAAAACCCTGTGGTTCCCGTTAACTGCCTTATCAGAATCAGTATCCAAGTGTTTAGAAATATATATTTATTTTAAGCTATTGCATAGCTTTTATAGCGGGCTTTGAGCGCGGCGACCGAATCAAGAAATTCCGTAAGGAAAAACCTCACACCCTAAAACCTAACATCCTCTAACGTCGTTTAAGTTCGGCAGACTTCGGCACGGTGTTTGTGTGCGTGCGACTAGACGTATGCGTGTAGACTAGTTGCATGTATTATAAGATAATAAAAATATTTAAACAATAATACAGTTTATCGCAAGAAGCACATACATACTTTGGATTTATATGAGTCGTCGTCATGCTAGCAACTTTCGTGAATTTAGAGTATTTAATAAACACAAACTTTATAGAAAATTATCGTTTGTCGGAAGAACTCGTTGATTACCATAAACCTACAGTTTCAATGATAAAAAATCCTGAATAACCTATATGTATTGTAAGATAATAAAAATATTTTAAACTATTTTAACTTCTCATTTATTAAATAAAAAGAAAAAAAATTGTTTTCTTATCGGTCACCACGCTCAAAAAAGAATTAATATCAAAGAAAAAAACAGAAAAAAATACCGCATAAATAAAATAAATAAATAATTATAATTGCATAAGTTGATAAAAATGCTATGCTTTACCGCGGCAGTCCCGAGTGCCACCCATATATATTTTTTTTTTTCAGAAAACTTGACCATATTTATTTAAATAAAAATAAATTATTTGCAAATTGTATGTGGTTTTATTTCCTCTAACTCACACGAGTATCGGTAATGAGGGGTCTTTGACAATCCTCTTAATACTCGGCCAATGCGGAAATAATAAAAACACATACAATTTGCAAATTATTTTTTTTAATGAAAATTAATTTTTTTGAATGTCTTTCATTGAAAAAAAATTATTTCTATACGCCTGAATACTGATTCTGATAACGCAGTTAACGGGAACCACACGGTTTTTTTTACATGTTACTTCGGAATTTTGATAGCGTGATTTAGGGTTTGATGCGTTTTACTTGTAACGCAACACAGCGCCGCCACGCCATGTTCTTTATTTAAGAAAAACTCACAAAAATTAAAGGAGCAAAAAAACTTTCAAATTTTTCGTTGATACTTTAAAAAAAGCATTTCGTAGCTCCAAAATTCTAGTTTTTTTTTTTAATCAAAAAAAATTAAATAAAAGAATAGAGAGTGCACTTTTGCTTGCGGTTGCACTATAATGTTCTCATGCGCATATTTTGTTAAGATATTATTATTGTTATACTTGTGGTATAATAATAATGTTGTTCTCCATACAGTGTAGTGTACATAGAATACTGTAATACACAACAGAATGGCTGTCAACTTTATTTTGTACGAGGATTAACGTTGCCAAACCCGATTCGCTGTGTTGACAGAGTGAGTAAATTTACACATTTTAGACTTTTTTATAGGATAGAGTGACAAACTAGCACACAGTCCACCTGATGGTAAGTGGTTGCTGCGGCCCATAGACATCTACATCTATCCTCGATTACAACAAAATGCAGACGCGTTGTCACCCGTGAGGACTAAGATGGAATTCCTCGTTTCCAGTAAAAATGGTCTCCGGTTCTCTACACTCACCATACGAAATACAGCAGCATTAAGTTACTATTTCACGCTGGTATTCTGTGAGAGCGCGATCCCCCTCCCCCTCCCCCGTTCTATTGTGTATGTATTATAGTATTCTATGGTAGTATACATATAAAATTGAAGTGTCCATGTGTAATATCGAAGTAACTGGTACTTTTCATGGACGGAAATCAATAGAAGCAATTAGCAACGAATGCACAACGCAAGTGAACTAATGTTGAGCTGTAATGATGATAAAACTATAAACTAATGAAAGAGAGTTAAAAAAGATACGAGGGGCGTTCAATGCACTCGGTATGAGCATGTTAAAAAAAAGATATATTTATGAAATATTTTTATTTTTCAATATAATCTCCCGTTACATCATTTACTTGTTCCCATTTACTTTTACTTGTACGTGAGAAAAGCTTTTCTAATGCTTCTTTGCTTTTCTAAGACCTCATATATAATTTTCAGCGCCAAGAACAAAAAACTCCCTAACCAAAACCATCTTACTTTGACTATAAACGGAGAAACGTTACAAATAAAAAATCATGAAAAGTACCTTGGACTGTTTCTCGACAGTAATTTGACTTGGAATGCACATCTCACACATATTAAAAACAAACATTCCTCTCTCGTTGGCCGCCTTCACAAAATAGTTCGATATCGAAAAGAGCCCGAATCCTAATATATAACTCTCTAGTAAAACCTCACTTACTTTACCTTGTAGAGGTATGGGGTAATGCAGCCAAAACCAATCTTAAGCCTCTCCAAGTGCTACAAAACCGTATCATAAAAATTTTGTATAACTATGACTTTAACACCAACTAATACAATATATAAGGAAACTGAACTGTTGAACGTTACTCAACTTTATACATATAGCACATGCATACTAATATATAAAATAAAACATAAATTAATCCACCCACAACTCACGTTTTTAACAAAGAAGCAAACAAACAAATACATAACACGCCGAGCTAGTCACCTTGAATTGCCGCCTATAAGAACAAACTATGGTAAAAATAATATAACGTATAAAGGAGCACAGTTATACAACAAACTACCTAAATTTGTAAAGGAGGCGAAATCTTTGAATGTTTTCAAACGGAAGTTACTTGCCTACCTATATTTACAACAGCTAAATACCTAACCTTAATCATTATTAAATAAAAATAAAAAAACATTATTATACTTGGACCACCACCTTATAGTTTGACTAAACAACAAAGATATTCGCTTCTTAAAAGCGACATCTAACAAAGTTATTTATACCCGCACTAAAAATTGTTATTACTAAGTTCATATAGTTATTGTTCTCATGTAAGTGACTATTGTCTTATTGAGAAATAAAGATCTTTAAACCGAATGCTTATTTACAGCGGACTTGAGCTTAATATCCTCAGCAAATCGCTTTCCCCGAAGGTCTTTTTTTAGTTTGGGAATGAAAAGTTGTATAGTTGCCGACACAAAACGTGAGCACAGATGAACTACGTTGGGGGTTGAGCCAGCGTGGGTACACTGTTGGCCAAAATTATTAGGTACTGTTGTTATTTCAATTCATAATTGAATATTTTCGCTGACTTTTTTTCGAAAATCTGAGACGTTAACTCCTGTGCGTAAACATTAGTCGCCTTAGCAGTCTGTATATAAACGTCTATCATGTTTTTCGCAATACCTAATTATTTCATTTAACAAAACACTGAATAGACCATATGTCGGGATTGTCTATTTAACACCGAATTCTTTCTTCTCTGCGTATTTAGACCAAAATCCGAATGCTCAAATTATAACAAGAAAAAATTAACAACAAGAAATATCAAAAACAGTTAAAAACAAGAAATAAACAATCAACAATTAACAACGAGGTAACACTGCAATTAACAAAAATAAATTAATTAAAAAGTTGTCACTAAAATTGCTCTCAAGTGTACAATAGACGACAATAATCGGCTGACGAACCAATCACGTTGAACGTCAGGCTATCGCAATTATATCTAGAGACTACCTCTGTACCCCCGCACCTTCAGCACCACCCGCGCCACCTGCAACACGGGACTAAGTTTCTCGACACAAGATCAAAACGCAAAACTAGTACAGGTAAGTAGTAAACGGTAGGGTGAATCGTTTAAAATATCGAAAGATCATATCATCATCTCAGTCATATTATTATCTTAATATATATATATATAAATTACGTGTCACGTTGTTTATCCGCTGGACTCCTAAACTACTCAACCGGTTTTAATCAAATTTGCACACCATGTGCAGTTTGGTCCAACTTGAGAGATAGGATAGTTTTTTTTTGCCCATTAGTGACCCACATTTTTTTTTAATAAAACTAAATTTACGGATCCGTAAATTTAGTTTTGTTCAATGTGTAGTGTTCGCGTAAATTTAAGAAATTATTATGTGAACAATTTTTTTGCGAATTTAAGAATTTTTAATAGGACATGACAAAGGGTCGTCGAAAAGGGCAGAACAACGTCTGCCTGGCAAGCTAGTTTATGTATAAAATCATAGGCACTAAAGCACTTCATTCAGAAGTTCTAGCCAGAGTTTTGAAGCAACTACAAGTTCGGCTGTATGGTGGGTGGTTTATTTCCTCAAACCCGCATCTCGTATAGTAGAGCATTGGAGAGCCGGTGTGTGGTCATGAAGAAGCTGCACTCCATTGGTCAGCTTTCCTCTTCTCTTTTCTTTTATTGCTCCTTTCAAACGGCAAAAGTAGCTGAGTATTTGTCTGCGTTGATGGTAGCTTTTTCTTCTTCTTTTTGGTTACTCTTTGTTGTGTAAATTCAATTTTTCTTTGTTGTGTGTTTCAATTCACAACATTTTTATCGAATGAGCGACCCTTACGAATGTGTGCGTGCGTAGTAAAACAGTAGGCGTTGAAATGAATGACAATCAATTAAAATAAGGCATTATTATTATTATTGCACATTCTGAATTTAAAAGATTTAAAAAAAAAAAAACAGAATATTTGAGATATTTTTTTAAATTCATTTTTCGTCACCATTACCCTATATTACTTATTCTGAACCTTCTCTGCAAATTTAGGCGATTATTACAAAATAAGCCTATGTAGCATGCGTAGAATCTATAAATAAATAATATACATATATATATATATATATATATATATATATATATATATATATATTATATATATATATATATATATATATATATATATATATAATCATAGAATGGAATAAAAAAAACTTATGGTTTATTTACATTTTGTTTGGTTCTTTTTGGTTGCTAGATTAATTATATTCCTTTGGAATCCCAAAACACGGTGACTATGACTTTACCGGCCGATAGAGACTTAGAACTTCTTTTCTGATCCCTTTCATGCCGTGGCATAGACCCCAGCAGTAGAAGAACCCACGTTTCTTCTGTTGTAACTTCCCTATCGAAAACACAAAACGCTTGTTGTGTCGTCACCATACAGCTCTAGAAGCTGCCTACAACAGTCAACCCCCCTCCCCCTGCTTTTGAAGCCCATTGAATATTCGCGGCAACCAAGTCATGCAATATAGTGTGTATGGTACCAACGGATAGGTTAGTCATTTCTGCTAACATCTTAATTCTTACTCGTGCATCTTCTAATACAAGTGTACAATCCCGCACGGAACAAGTATTGTATGGCGTACAAATAATTGTTCCGGGTCTGGATGTGTGTCCTTGTGCAATTTATGTTTGTAAACTGCTCCACGATACTGGAGAAAATCCTAGTGTAGGGGTAACGTTTTTAAATTAAAAAAAAAGTTTTTCAATAATTTTTACATATTCTTCTGTAGCCGCTGTGATTGGCTCACCCGGGCGGGGGTCATCTTCGATGCTTTCCCTGCCTCTTTTGAATTCACTTGATCACTTCTGCACGGTTGAGATTAAAGGAACAGTCTTGGTAAAAACGGCCACTATTTTTTCATAGATGTTTTTTACACTTTTCCCTAGTTAAGTGAGGAATTTAATCACCGCACGGTGCTCAATTTTTTTCCAACATTGTCGAGTCACATAAGAGTACATAATGAATCATTCACATAAGAAGTAATGAAGTTATCAAGACAAAATTTCACATTTATACCTACCCTCAAATAGTGTCGTTAGCTAAGGAATATTTTTAACTACCCACATTATTAGCAAATCACCCTAGTACCGAGGTTCGAGAATACATTGAACTCCCCTCGTAAAGCAGCCTATGGTTTCGTATTTAATCGTAATTACCTATAGTCTCGTTATGGGGCCCCCTTGGTGCCCAGATGCTCTGCTCCAGAGGATGATATAGCTTGAAACAGAAGCCGTCCTTCTTGCTGGGTCTCTCGATGACTCGGCAGGATGTGAGGAGTACAGTGCCCACCCAGTGGCTGCTCTGTTGAAATAATAATGCATTCAAATTATAGTAGGTGATAAGAATTATTTTGTCTAGACGTATCAGAAGTGTTCTATCTAGAAAAAAGTCTAAGTATCACTGGACATGGAGGGTATACAGAGCCTTAATAATTACAGGCTGGGGAGCATCTTATCCTGAAGATTCTTTTTGTTTGAAAAGTTCGTGCGTGTCTTTTTATTTGTAGGTAGTTTTTAGTTTATGGAATAAAGATGATAAAACAAGAGTCCACCTGATTAAAGGATGCTGTGGCACATAAACGTCTACATTTATCCTTGTTTAAGAATCAAAATGCAGACGCTTTGTCACCCCTGAGAACTAAGATGGAACGCCCCTTTTCAAGCAAAAAAAGGTCTTCGGTTCTCTACACTCACCATACAAAACACAGCAGCGTTAAGCTGCTATTTTACGCGTTACATATCTGCAGCTTAGCTTAAATTTTTTCTTACTGTATTTAGTGTAGCCGCCAATTCAAATTTTTTAAAGGGTTATTAACAATTCACTATCATCGTAAGGTTTAGTTTTCTTTTTTTCTAAAGGTATTAAATCTTAAATATATAAAATAACAATTAAAATATTAAAAATTATTCTTTTTGCTATTATAGGGGATTTGGCCAGCCGTTCTACTCAAGCCAAGATGAAAGTTAGAATAGGTAAACCTTATTAGAATGTAAAATTTTTTTAAATTTACATTAAATTGTTATTATATATTTTTAAAAAAATATATATTTATCAGTGAGAGATGTAGTGCAGCCCCCACGATAGTATTTTTTATTGTACAAGGGTGACAAACGAGCACACAGTCCACCTGACGGTAAGGGGCTGCTGTGGCCCATAGATATTTATCCTCGATTAAGAATCAAACGCAGATGTGTTGTCCTCCCTAAGGACTAAGATGGAATGCCTCTTTTCCAGTAAAATTCATCATCATCATTACAGCCCTTCACAAGTCCACTGCTGAACATAGGCCTCCACAAAGGTAAGCCACAAAGCACGGTCCTGAGCCACCTGCATCCATCGACTCCCTGCATGTCTTACCAGATCGTCACTCCATCTAGTGGGGGGTCGCCCTATACTACGCCGGTACGAGACTGTAACTCGAGAACCTTTTTTACCCATCGGTTGTAGGTTCTTCGAGCTATATGGCCGGCCCATTGCCACTTCAGTTTACTAATCCATAGGGCTATGTCGGTCACTCTGGTTCTACTGCGGATATTCTCATTTCTAATTTTATCACGCAGAAAAATCCCGAGCATAGCCCTCTCCATAGCTCGCTGAGCGACTTTGAGCGTCCTCATACGGCCAGCAGTGAAGGACCATGGCACAGATCCGTAAGTCATCACTGACGACTTTTAATAATAATCGAAATAAATAAAAATAACAATTTCTTTATTTGCTTAGAAACACGGTATTATAAACTGGTACAAGTTTGACAGAGAGGCTATTATGTTTCACAATAATGAAAATAGTATAAAAATAATATATTGAATTGAGGAATGTTATAATTAAATTACATGTCAATCCATACTATTAATATAATTATTATTACCAAATGTATGTCAAGGAATGAACATTAATTAAAATAAAATTTTATATCAATATTAATTTACGTTATATTTTTGGTACAGAAAAACGATTTCATGCTGTAAAAGTTATACTGATTTAGCCATTTGTGCAAGCTGTGTTTAAACATACTGATATTTACGTTGTCACCCGTGAGGACTAAGATGGAATGCCTCGTTTCCAGTAAAAAGTGTCTCCGGTTCTCTACACTCACCATACGAAACACAGCAGCATTAAGCTACTATTTTGACGCTGGTATTATGGGAGAGCGCGGTCCTTCCCCGGTCGAGCCGACCCATCCGTGCTACAACTATACTACTAATATAACTGCAGCATGGATCTACCACGTATAAAATGATATTGAGCATTTTAATAAATATCTCTAGTAATCTTGTTATATATTCTGACGCACATACAGAGGCAACTTTTTGCATACTTATCCGACTTTGGAATGTCATTATATATCATTCCGTGAGGATATCTCGATCTAAAATTATTTACTTTATCAAAAGATTCTGTACTTATGTGTAAAAAAAACCGCAACTTCTTAAATGTAAAGTGAAGGTAGTGGCATCAATCCTAGACTTTTATACAGCGGTTTACAAGACACGTCAGGTAACACTCTACATATGGCCTGTTTACTGTATACTGTTGCCCCCATAGAATACTATAATACATACATGATAGAACGGGGGAGTGGGCGGAGCCCGTGTAGCCACTAAAATGTCACTAACACGTCGATTCACACGTATAAATGTCAACACGAGATGTGTTTTGACGTTACAATCGTTTCCAAATTTCGCATGCAAATTATTTAGAAAATGCTAAATTGCACACTATTTACAAATAAATATGTATTAAAATCTGTCTGTCAGCACAGCGAATCGGGTTTGTATTAGTGACAATACGACGTAATTGCTTGTATGTGTACTCCCGGCGACGCCTATCGTCGTACAAAATAAGGTTGACAGCCATTCTATTGTGTATATTCTATGGTTACCCCATAGTAGGATGTCGAAGTGCAATATCGATTCTATGTAAATGCGATAGGACATAATAGGTCTTTTTGACGGTTACATATCTAACGCGTTTTTAAATAATCTTATAACTCTAACATCAGAAATGTTAAGTGAAATCTCCTCTTGCTATTGGTCTATCTTTTTTATTATATAAGTGCAATATAAAGCTGACTTGGTGACAATAGAGCACTACATGTCCGTTTCGCGGTCGATATGTGCAATAGCAAAACCTATGTGTATAACAAAACTAAAACATCTGTATATTTTAATACCATATTATTTATACAAATAAAGTTTATTGAGAAAACAATACTAGAAATTACGGAAGGAATATTTTGATTTATGTTCTAAATGGTATCTGGTATAAAACCGTCCAGCCACATCCCCTCAGAATTCCATGGATTGATAGTCACAGATTACCAAGAAAGGATGCAATAGTGATTATGAGGTTGCGTTCTAGGCACATTCCATCCAAGGAGTTTGCCTTTCTCGTGAATAAAGTCCCGGCACCGAACTGTGAACAATGCGGTGTTCCCAAGGACCTAATGCATGTCTTGATGGAGTGTGCCCGCAATGCTGCCTTTCGAATAGCTGAGTGTAAAAATATTTTAAAGCAATTTGTTGTCTGTAACATTATTTTATCCAACCTCTATTCCGATGAAACAAAATTATTGGTTAAACTGTATAACATAGTATTCTCCTCAGATCAGTCAACTAGATAGACTTTTTTTTTCATTTTGCTTGCTTGTTAAATTGAATGTTATTTACTTCGTAATGATGTCAAGCGCAACGACATAATCACATTTTGATTAAGCTCTTCAAATAAAGATTTAAAAATAATTATTGAAGTGAAACTTCTTTATCGACGTAGTGGATTAGTACGGTATTAAAATATACGTCACGTTTTTTTTTTGTGACTTTTCGCCGCTGAGGTTGTGTAAGTAACAAAATAAAAGGAAACGAGACACAGAGTCTCATTCTTCTAAGAAAGAGTATTTATTTCATTCTTCTAAAAAGCAAGTCTAACTAAAGAAGTGTGTACACAAACACGCACATTTTTCATTATTATAAAAAATAATAAAATGTTTATTACGATATACATACCTTGGCCTTAGAACTTTTGTACAATAACAAAAGGCCAGGCTTCAACACGCACCACAGCTTGGTCCATGACTTTAGCGAACCTCGGACCTAAAACAAAACAAATTAGGTAGACTTTAAAATGTTTCCAATTTCTTTATAACGGGGCCAAAGTGAAATTATGACACAAGAGATATGTATGGCAATTTACAATGCCGTGTTAGTCCCTACCTTTATGTATGGTAATAAAAATTGGGTGTGACGGAAGAAGTACGCGAAAAGACATAAATAATGTATTCTGTTTTATATTTTTTTTAAATAATGAAGCACAAAAGCAACGCCGTGAACGTGTATCGGTGGTTTAAGAATATCCACAAACCCCATATCATCCCACGGGAGTCGCAAAAGACAACAAACCTGTAGGACAGCAGCGTTAAAATAAAAAGCTGTTGATGCAAATAAAAGGGATATTTATGTAAATATTGATGTATATATATAATATGTAACGTAATTAACGCACACCCTCAGACACCCCAATTAGTATATTATGTTATAATCATAATACATACACTGAATTTTTAGTTATTTTTATCCACTGATTATTTATCAAATTAGTTATACTAGTTCCGGAAGAATGTTGTGGTCACAGTACAAATCCACGAACGCAAAGACCTTTAATGTGCTTGAAATAAAGTTCATTTTTCTTTATTTTTATTGAATGACAGAATTAGTAAAAATACAAATAAAACTGCACTCTTAAAAGTCTTATTGCCTTAAGTTACGGTCCATTTCAGTTTGTTTTGTCTGTACAGATTTAGTGTGACTGTAATTTACGTAGTTTTAATTATTTTTGGGATAAAAATTACCTATATTAAAAATGATAGGAATCGATTCAGTAAACGATTCTGAACAAACTACTTTCTCAAAGTGCGTTAATTATGTTACATGTTGTATATATAAATATTGTATAATATGTAAATATTGTATAATATGTAAATATTGTATAATATGTAAATATTGTATAATATGTAAATATTGTTTACGTGGTAGAGGCATGCTGCAGTTATATTAGTAGTATAGTTGTAGCACGAATGAGTCGGCTCGACCGGGGAAGGACCACGCTCTCACAGAATACCAGCGTAAAATAGTAGCTTAATGCTGCTGTGTTTCGTATGGTGAGTGTAGAGAAACGGAGACCCTTTTTACTGGAAACGAGGCATTCCATCTTAGTCTTCACGGGTGACAACGCATCTGCATTTTGATTCGTAATCGAGAATAGATGTAGATGTGTATGGGCCGCAGCAACCACTTACCATCAGGTGGACTGTGTGCGCGTTTGTCCCTTAGCCGATTTAAAAAAAATCTTATTTGATTATTTCATTTTCCCAGTGTATTGTTAGTCACTTTTTAGGCTCGGTTTACATTTCAAGAAGTGACAAGTGCTAGTGACAAGTGACAAATTTAATGTGAATAGAATATAAGTAGCGGCACGAAAGTCTAGCGGTGACCGTTATTGTGCATAAGGCTGATTGGATCCTCTGCAGTCACATTCGTGCAATTCAATTCATGCGCATCCCCTCCACGTTTCGTTCAGCGCTAGACTTACGTGCCGCGATTTCTACGCACTAAGCACACGTCATTTGCCACTCGCACTTGTCATTTCTCAAAATGTAAACCGGGCCTCAGTTCCTACTCCTTCTAACAATTACGTGTGCTATATATTACCCCAATTCATTATATACGCCCCCAAAATGCAACACAGAAAACGCGTACCTTCGTCGATAATACGACATGCTTTTCGCCCCTAGACAAGGCATCATCATGGAGGCCTATGTTCAGAAGACTTTGATAGGTTGTCATGATGATAATTAAGAGAATATCTTGAAAATGACCCGTTGTTTTGGCGGCGTGGCTTTTTTTTAAGTTATCGAGCAGACGACCTGGAGACAGATTTCTCTAGAAAACAGCCTTTCTAGGTTGTCTTCAATTAAGAATTAAAATAAAAGGCTTATCCATTTGTCGGTGAAGCTCACGAACGAATGAAAGTGATGCAATGACTTCATAGTATGCATATTATGAGATAGCTATACCGAGCAAGCGCTCGGAAATAAGCTAAGTGTGCACCAAAAAACTTTTTTATTCTTTTTAACAAAACTTTGTTATGGATAAAAAATGGTTTATGAGAACTTAGATATGATTATTTACTATGCTTTAAAATAATTTCATGAACTTAATCGCAAAAATATTGTGGTGGCATGGAGAAATTTAACTAATTAGAGACCACTTTAAAAAAAAATTCTATAGAAATAATTACATGTTATCGTGTTTTTCTTTTATTAAATCCAAGGCCATATAGTCAAAAACCACATACTAAAATTTGGTTCGTAATCTATAAAACACAAAAAACTACGTGCAATAAAAAACCACCAAACTTTCGAGGCATCACCTTAATGATAACAGTATATAGGAGAGAGCATTGAAGGTGACTGAGAATGATTTTAATATCGGTATTCTGGTGTAGAGTTAGATTTTTTTTATTTTGTGTTCAATGGAATAAACGATTTTTAAAACCAACTGTCAGTCGTAAGACTGCACGATCAGAAATGAAAACTTCTTAACTTCACAAACTTGTAAACATTATTTTTGGGTTGCCAAGAAATATTTTTAGATACTTTCCTTAATTACAAATTATTTTTATCAACATATTAATATAGGTAATATATTAATATGTTACCTATATTATATATAATACATAACTATATATAATATATAATATATATAATACAAACAAATTTATAAATACATATTAATTTTAAAAAATTAAACAATTGGATTTTAAACATTACTTTCATCAATTTTACGTATCTGGGAGTGAACGTAACGTGAGTTCAGTGCTATTTCCCAATCCCAAAAATGTTTTACCTTTAGCCAATCAGCGAGAACCACAACAGTGGGATCCTCGATAGAGTGTAAGAGTGCCGATGCTGCTCTCTTCTTTTCTCTTCTGTAATGCTGACGCTGAGCTTTGTAACTCTCCTTGCGGGAGAGGGCTGTGCTCGGTGTACGTGACACGCCAGCTGCTGTTTCTGAGGACTGCAACGATTAAAAATATTCCATTTTTATTCTCTTTTTGGTATTTTACAATACACCGAGTTATGACTTTCTACATGTTAAGAATTTTAATACTTGTCTTTATCTATTTACATAAAAATTAATTGGTACATGTATGAAAGATCATCACTTGAGAACGGCAAGACCGATATTATAAAACTATAATGAGGTGACTGGGACTCCGTGACGGACCGCTCCGGGCTCAAATGCAGAAGGCGGTGCTCCTCGATACCGCCCGCATCGTCCGCCGGTTTCTTTCCCCTAACCCTCGGCCGTTTGGTCTCCCCTATCGAGGGCTTCCATCTGGTTGGGCTTTTATTTATTTATGTTATTATATTAAAAATATAATATTTATGTATATTTATTACCTTTTATATATTTATTTAGCCCAACCAGTGCATATATATATATATATATATATATATATATATATATATATATATATATATATATAATTATTATGTCAGTGCATATGCGGTTGAACTATTCCTAAACGGCAAAGCCGATTTTGATGATTTTTTTTTTTGTTTTTGTACGTGGTAGGTGGCGTTGTTGTCGAGATTCAAAATCCACCCGTGCGAAACCGGTTCGGATCGCCAGTATTATATATAAATAATGGGTGGTGCATCTGTTAGTGATCATGTAACTTCTGATTAACTTAACCGATTGAGGTCATCGTCACACAAAATATGTTTTATTGTGACGATGGTTCTTATAGGATGGATTCTATAGGTGTCACTGTAATCTGTGTATATTATATGTGTATTAACGAATTCTATATTTATTAATCATACTTTTATTTTCGGACTCTATTAACTGGATACGAGGTATTCCATCTTAGTCCTCAGGGACGTTTTACTACGTAACGTTTTTATAAAATAAGGGTGTCAAAACGAGCACACAGTCCATGTGATGGTAAGTGGATGTTTTGGCCCATATACATCTATATTTATCCTCAACTAAGAATCAAAATGCAATTATGATGTCATCCGTGAGGACTGAGATGGAATGTCTCGTTTTCAGTAAAAGTAGTCTCCGGATCTCTACACTCACCATACGAAACTCAGCAGTATTAAGCTGTTATTTTACGGTGGTATTCTGTGAGAGCGTGGTCCTACCCCGGTCGAGCCGAACCATACGTGCTAAAATCATAATATAGCTCCTGCGTGACCCTGTCACGTAAAAAATTACTGCATTTGATTTATCATGGAGGATAAATGTAGATGTCTACGGCCCACAGTATCCACATACCACCAGGTGGACTGTGTGCTTGTATGTAACACTTATTCTATAAAAAATCATAATAACTAATATTTAGCATACTAAATTGACTCGTATACATATGTTGGATTAAAAAAGAAAGCCACAAAAACTGCACCCGATAGGTGGCGCTGTGGTTGTGTTATTAATAAATTTGATATTATGTACTCATAGTGCTAACTAACGGTAAGGGAAGACCAAAGTCTCCCGGAAGAGCTAGCTATAACATACTATACATTCCCTTATTTCCCCTTACTTCCTTTTATGTCTTTTTTTTTTCATCTTTTTTCTCATTTTATATGCTCTGTGACCTCTCTGTCTCTCATTGTCTTTAGTTTAATATATCTACAAATAATAATATGGTTTCACCACTCGTTAGTAATGTGTAACGATTATATTACGATTGTAAATTTTTTTTTACTATCCCGGTGCGTTTCTTGCTGGTTCTTCCCAGAACAGAGGCGTTTTCCAAACCAGTGATAAATTCTACATATGGATGACCGTCAATAAGTATTTATAATCTTTAATGAACAAAAAAAATCTATGTCAAATTCTATTTATGAATTTAAAAAAAAATTCGAATCCACATAGTGGCGGTGTAACGTGTGAAGGATAACCAGTACCACATATGGTCCCGTAGGTATCGTAAGAGATGACAGAGGGAACCCACTCAGGAGATGAGTATCTTCCTAACTAAATCTAAAAAATATAAAGCTGCGTTGCAACTGTGGCAAATATCCCCGCTACGAGCTTAATACATGGGGGAGGTCTATATACAACAGTGGACTTTTAATAGACTGTACGGTAACTGTACGGTAACTATACGATAATAATAATAATGTCCTCCAGACCGAATTTCGGTCACGGCGGCCTGCCTCAACGGAGACTAGCCATCGGCGCAGGACAGGCTTATAGTGCCCCAGTGTATGCGCAAGCACAGGTGCACTCTCTATTGCCTCACTCTCATAATCCGATGGGACGGTAAACCGACACGACCGGAGAGAGATCAGGCGCAGGACCAACGGCTTTACGTGCTTTCCGAGGCACGGGGGTGAGACACCGCTAACTTCCTGACTCCGAGCAGCTACTGAGAATTTCTTGACGAAAAAACTCAATAATTGATTTTCTGGCCCGACCCGGAATTCGAACCCAGACCTCATGATCAGCAATCGCACTACTACAACCACTAGACCAACGAGGCAGTCAACTGTACGATAACGGCACGCTAACGGTACGGTAATTCTATTTTTTCTCTAATATCAGTATCTTGGTAACTTACTTTGTCAGACGAAGTGCCGTCCGGCGGATGCCCTCGGCCGTCACCAGAGGCCGGGGTCACCACCGCAGCCCCGGGGGATCTCGGCGGAGGCGTCAATGTCGGCTCACCTGTTGAAGGAAATAATAATCTAAGTAAAAACAATATTCCAAAGTTCAAAGAAATTTGAAAAAAAAAAAACAATAAAATTCTTTTTTATAAAATAAGGGTAAAGTCAAGAAACGAGCACACAGTCCACCTGATGATAAATAAATTTTGTGTCCCATAGACATCTACATCTATTCCCAATTAAGAATTAAAATATAGATGCGTGTCCGCCCTGAAGACTGAGATTATACCTCATTTCCAGAAAAAAGGTTATCTCTCTCTTAGAGTCGGCCTGTTCTCTACGCTACCATACAAGACACATCAGCATTAAGCTGCTATTTTCCGCTGGTATTCTGTGATATTGTGATCCTAACCCGGTAGAGACGACCCTTTTGTGCTGCAAATACAATATAGCCGTAGTGTGGCTATACCAAAAATATTTACAAAACTTGGATATGGTTTTTACGTGGTAGAGCCATGCTGCAGTTATATTATTAGTATAGTTGTAGCATGAATGGGTCAGCTCGACCGGGGAAGGACCACGCTCTCTCAGAATACCAGCGTAAAATAGTAGCTTAATGCTGCTGTGTTTCGTATGGTGAGTGTAGAGAAACGATAATCAATGAGAAGAGGTTCTCGATTGACAGCCTCGTACCGGTTAACGGAGTATAGGATTATCGTTAAAAACAAGCAGATTTTAGTAGAACTAACAGTTACTTACATATTTACGAACAACAAAATAAATGTACTGAAGGCCAATTAAAAGTTCCCAGATATAAATAAAGTAGAAAGAAAAAATTGCACAAGAAACGTACACGAAGACACAATTACACAATAACAAATGATTTCAGAAGTAAAATGAAGTAAACATGGTATATCTATTTATATATATATATTTATTCCTCAATAGATGTTTATTATATATATATTTTAACCACGTCATTTAAACATTTGCTCGCTTTTTTATAGAATAAGGGTGACAAACGAACACACAGTCCACCTGATGGTAAGTGGATGCTGTGGCCCATAGACATCTACAATTGCCTCGATTAAGAATCAAAACGCAGATTCGTTATCACCCCTAAATACTAAGATGTAATGCCTCGTTTTTTTTAAGAATATTAACAATGCTATAAACATTACTAATATTCCCCTTAACCACTCGTGGTAATGCTTAAATTGTATTGTATTTTTTTTATTTTTTTATTATTAAATTATATTTAATAAGCTTAAATTGTTTGTGTTACGATTGGTTCACGCCAGTAGTCGAATGGCGGATTCGAACCCACGACCTTTTTGAGTTCGCGGTCCGCACCCTTCCATTAGGCTAGTAAAAAGGGTTCTCTGGATCTCTACACTCACCATGCGAAACACAGAAGTATTAAGCTGCTATTTCACGCTGGTATTCTGTGAGAGCGTGGACCTACCCCGGTCGAGCCGACCCATTGGTGCTACAACCATTATATAGCTGCAGCGTGGCTCTACCCCATATAAAAAACCACGTATAAATAAGAATGTTCTTATTAAATAAGAATTTTGAAAAGAAAACTTCTTTAGCGGCGTTGGACACTTTCTGTAATGGGTAAAAATTGTTAAACTCGCGTCAGGACACGTGACCCTGATCGAAAATGCGTAAGACGGACGGCATAGGTGAAACGGGAAATATCCCCCTCTCTTTCTACTGCGCGGCGGCCCGCTGTTTCGTTTAGGCGGCGCAGGGCGGTTGCGCGAATGTAATAAAAATTGTCATGTTTGTGTACGATAGCGCAATAAATAAATATTGTATTCTACCACATAAATGATAGTACTTTTATACTGATAATTGAAGCAATTCGTGCAAAATTATTCCCTAACCATTCCGAAATATCAAAAATGCACAACGAAATAATATTCAAGTTTTCACTTCAGCCGGCACTCCCGGAGTGCAACCCGTCGTTTTTTTTTTTCATGTAGTTTTTATAAACTGCCGACACCTATTAGTTTGCATGGCTTGCGTGAAGATGCTTATGGAACTTGTAAACGTATTTGCTGCAACAGTTCTTGGTAGTCGAATTATTTGTGAATGATTAATTAGAAGCGACAGATCCACTATGCGTCTTTTTTTGTCATAGCGGCAAAATGTGAAACTTTCGGCAACGCGTTCTGTAATCCGGTAAAAAGAGAGATTTAGGTCCAGTTTACATCTTGAGAAGTGACAAGTGCGAGTGAAATTAACAAGTAAACACCGTCAAGTGAAAACTAGCAAGTAGGTGTTCACACACGTGGCAAGTGGATATACAGTACATCATTATTATATGGAATTCCGAACCACATAGTATTTCTAGTACTCAAAATGGATAAGCAATTGCGCCAACAAGTTCGTGAAGTAATACATATTGACAGTTTGGAGAATTTCAACGCTAGGCGGCAGAAAGTGGAACTAAATCGATCCAAGTCATTTGCCTAGCTGTTTTATCAAATGGCTGGAGTAATTCAAACCGCTAGTTGAACGGCGCTGTTTAGTAAAGAGGCTAGGCTGTTGATTTAACGGCTTACAGCAGTCACGGGGGGGGGGGGGGGGTGTAAAAACTAATTTAATTTATATGAGAAGTATATAATGATTTATTAAATTTACGCGAACACTACACATTGAATAAAACTAAATTTACGGATTCTATCGCGTTTATTTAACTGATTTACTTATTTTTAATTCCCGACGTTTCGGGTGCTTTACAGAAACCATGGTCACGGGGGGGACTGAGATGTTTGACGTCCCAATGTCATTGTTAGCCCGGCTACCTTCAGTTTTTGAATATTAATTTTTGGTCCGATTTACGCAAAACGAACTTACAGTATCTTGAAGTCTTGCAGTGGTATGCTTGGGTTTGGGTTTAATTTTGTTAATTATAGGATCCCAAGCAGATGGCAGCACCCAACCATCTTCTCTATTGAAATTAGGATGTTTTTTAATTTCAATAGCCTCGCGTATCATCCTTGGTAGGAATCGGTGTTCTTTTGCGAGGATTTTTGGTTTATCAAATCTGATGTAATGGTGGGGACGATCTTGAACATGTTCACATGAACCTTGAACATGAAGTCTGCAGTCTGTGATTTGTCAAATCTATGATTTCGATCAAAATTTGATGTAGAAAATGATTTGTCAAATCATTTTCTACGTTTACTCACCGTAGGTGGGCGGCGTAGCGGGCGCAGTGGCTGGTAGTACTACGTTCAATGGGGGATGATACTGCTTCTGAAAACAATACATTATGAACTGTAAATTATAAAGTTCACTTTAAATGTTATAAGTGACACAAGTCTAATGGTAGGGTGCGGACCGCGAACTCAAAGGTCGTGGTTTCGATTCCCACAATCTACTATAACCGTGTACCACTCCTAACACAAGCATTTTAAGTATTAATAAAGTTAATACAATTAAAAGAAAGCGTATAGTATATTTTCAAAGTGATATTATATTTTTACAGAATACCAGCGTAATACAATAGTAATAATGTTGTTATTTTTTAATAGAGTAAGGGTGACAAACGAGCACACAGTCCACCTGATGGTAAGTGGATGCTGTGGCCCATAGACATCTACATTTATCCTCGATTAAGAATCAAAACGCAGATCAACCCTGAGGACTAAGATGTAATGCCTCGTTTCCAGTAAAAAGGGTCTCCGGTTCTCTACACTCACCATACGAAACACAGCAGCGTTAAGCTGCTATTTTACGCTGGTATTCTGTAAGAGCGTGGTCCTTCCCCGGCCGAGCCGACCCATTCGTGCTACATCCATATTATAGCTGCAGCGTGACTCTACCACGTATTAAGATCCTATTGATCTAGTAAGTAATTTGACTACAAATAAGGCCTTCTCATGACTTCAAATTGGTCATCCTTGAGAACGAAGACCTAATGCCTTACAGCTTGCATTTATACTGGCTCTTTAAATCATTCAAATCAGGAAGCAAAGTGGATGCAGATGGGTTCCTACGTAGAAAAGCACGGCATCATGAAGTTCATCATCATTGAAGTTGTGCAGCCGACAATAGTGTGACAGTTAAACATTTTATTTATAGCAGATGATATATTACACTAATTATTATTCGTGAATGTAGAGAAGTACGAGTACTACCGTGTAGTGGCTGTGTAAGAATATCCACTAATCCATATCATCCCGTGGGTGTCGTAAGAGGCGACAGAAGGAATCTGAAACAGGAGATTGGCAGCATCGTCTTCCTGATATACAACTCAAAATAATAAAAAACTGCGGGTGCCAACCCGCTTTCCAAACGTGGCGACTATGGTAAAATCTCCCCTGTGAGGCAATCTATGGAAAAACCTATGTTCAACAGTAGACTTTCATAGGCTGTGATGGGTATTAAATTACATTCGTATTTAACTTTGACTTTTTTAACTTTGACTTGACTGCCTCGTTGGTCCAGTGGTTGTAGCAGTGCGACTGCTGATCGTGAGGTCCCGGGTGCAAATCCCGGGTCGGGCCAAAAATAATTATTGAGTTTTTCCGTCAAGAAATTCTCAGTAGCTGCCCGTAATCAGAAAGTTGGCGGTGTCTCACCCCCGTGCCTCGGAAAGCATTTAAAGCCGTTGGTCTTGCGTGGGCTATGAGAGTTAGGAAATAGAGAGTGCACCTGTGCTTGTGCATACACTTGGGCACTACAATCCTGTCCTGCGCCGATGGCTAGTCTCCGTTGAGGCCGGCCGCCGTGACCTAAATTCGTTTTCTCATTATTTAACTTTATAGTCATGTGGTAAGAAAATTCAACACCCCATTTCGTCCCGTTAGTTTCGTTGAAGACAACTATGGGAACACCCATCTTGTGACCGACGATAGGCGGTGGTGTACCCATTACGTTTACGCCAGACGTGAAATACTCCGACGGGCGACAGGCAACAGCATCAAAGGTGCTCACATCCGGTACTGAGATTGTCAATCCAAACCGGTCGTATCAGATTGTCGTACTAACAGACTATGAGAGCGAGGGCATAGATAGTGCACCTGTGCTTACGCACTAACTTGTTATATTAGTAGTATAGTTGTAGCATTATACGTGGTGGCGCTATGCTGCAGCTATATTAGTAGTATAGTTGTAGCACGAATGGGTCGGCTCTGGGAAGGACCACGCTCTCACGGAATACCAGCGCAAAATAACAGCTTAATCCTGCTGTGTTTCGTATGGCGAGTAAATAAAACCGGAGACTCTTTTTATAGGAAACGAGGCATTACATCTAAGTTTTCACGGGTGACAACTTATCTGCATTTTGATTCGTAATTGAGGATAGATGTAGATGTCTATGGGCCACAGCAACCACTTACCATTAGGTGGAACTGTGTGCGCGTTTGTCACGCTATCCTTTTAAAAAAACCTACCTTGTACACTATAATTCTACCCTGCAGCCTGCATAGATCTCCGTAAACAAAATTCGGCCTGAGACATTATTATAAAATAATTACCTTATTCACGTAATTCGGTGTGGACGTGTTAAACTGTCCGTATTCACCGGCCTTCAGCGCCGGTGATGAGGGAGTCGTGGTGGAAGGTGACGACGGCTCCACTGCTGGGGACGAGCTCATCGTGAGTGCGTCAGAGGGTCAGAGCATCGTGGATGATGAAGTGCCGACGAGTTGTGATGAGGCGGGAGTTGTTAGGATGTGTATAGGACAAGGAATTACAGGTAAATAAATATAAACGTATTTTAAATTTAATCAATATAAATTAATTAAAATATCAACAAAATCAAAACATTTAATTAACTCTCGTATTTTGCTTGGTTAAATTAAAAATATATAAACGATCATCGATCTCACTTAAAGGATAATTAAAATAATAGTATCTGGAATGAATTAGTAGCAAATTCATATAAAATTATATACATAATATAATTTAATATATTATTATGGAATGGCGAGGGAGAAATGGAAATTTAAGGTGAGGCGGGAATTAATAGGATCCTGAAAACATTCGTAATCAGTTAGTTAAAGTAGTAAAGTACATAACATTATTGGAGACGTAATTATATGATACGTACGAGGAGTTATTGAGTGAAAACAAACTTATTTAAGATTATATTTGCGATTAGAAACTCGCCTCGACTTCACCAGGTGGATCTATTAATGTGGCATTATTTAGGTTTTAACCTCTCAACCCTCTAGCGGTCTCATGAGACCGCGGCCATATTACGTCAAATCCCTAGCGGTCTCATGAGGTCGCACCCACCCACAGCACTTTAATCCATAAAAACTTATATATGGAGACTACTTTTCTGTAAATAAGTTTGGCATTATATAATCAATATGAAATGCTCTATCCTCTAGTGCAATAAAAAAACTGTTATCCTATGAATATTTATTTATAATCTACGTTTATTTCGTACGCCATTTTCGAGTGAATGTGTTGATTTTGGATTTTTCTATATTATAAAAATTGTAATGAAAGTTTTTGTGTGAATATAATTTATCTTTTTACGTAAATAATTTCGAGTAAAATCTTTTTGTAATGAAGTAAAACCTGACTTTTGTTTAGACCACAAGATAGAGAATTTTGTATAGATTTAATAATGCTGTACTTCTTCATAGAAAAGTAGTCTCTAAATATAAGTTTTAATGGTTTTAAGTGGTGCGGGAATTTTTATGGCGCTTGAAGGGTTAATAAAAGACCATCTTTATATATTACATATTCCTTCCAAGTGTGTGTGTGACTGAACTATTCCTATACTGCTTGAACGAATTTGATGAAATTTTATATGTGTGATTAAGTTGATGTGGCAGCCTCGTACCGGTAGGCGTAGCGTAGGGCGACCCCCCCACTAGATGGAGTGACGAGCTGGTAAGACATGCAGGAAGTCGGTGGATGCAGGTGGCTCAGGATCGTGCTTTGTGGCATTACTTGGGGGAGGCCAATGTTCAGGCAGTGGACTTGTGAAGATCTATAATGATGATGATGAATGATGATGATTTAGTTGATTCAAGAATGGTTTAGATTCACAATCGGACCCGATAGGCGGCGCTGTTATCGAGATACAGAAATCACCTTTGTGAAGTCAGGACGAATGAATCACTACTTTAATAAGTTTTTTTCTCACAAAACAATCTCATGTGTGTGTGGGACGTGGGACCGACATAGCCCAACGGATTAGTAAGCTGAAGTGGCAATGGGCCGGCCACATAGCTCGAAGAATCGACAAGCGTTGGGGAAAAAAGGTTCTCGAGTGGCAGCCTCGTACCGGTAGGCGAAGTGTAGGGCGACCCCCCACTAGATGGAGTGACGACCTGGTAACACATGCAGGAAGTCAATGGATGCAGGTGGGACGTATAAGCCTACTAAAATACTGTAGTATTTTTTTAATTAAATAAATAACAAGTGGTAAAATTCAAAATTTGTACAACCGCCTTCAATATAAATAAAATTAAAACATTATCAATGTATTAGAAATCTATTAAGTACTCATTATCAAGGATAACTAAAAAACTACTGGTCAGATCTTGATCAATGTGAGGAATATGAGAAGCACCAACTTCCAAACAAAAAAAGAATGATCATAATCGGTTCAATCAAATCATAAACCTAGAAAAAAGTTCTGAGGTATCACACACAAAAAGAAAATACAGTCGAATTCGGAACCTCCTCCTTTTTTTACGTCGGTTGAAAAATGTAACCATTTCTTGTCTACAACCCAATCTGGTGGTAAGTGCTAATGACGCTCTAGTTAGTAAATAGAACTATCAAATGCTCAAATACCGAAACGCTGCCCAATTTTAAGATGCTGTTAAGTCCCGTGCTGTCTCTATCACCTTAAGTGACTGTTTTTTTATAGGATAGGGTGACAAACGAGCACACAGTCCACCTGATGGTAAGTGGTTGCTGTGGCCCATGGACATCTACATCTATCCTCGATTTCGAATTAAAATGCAGATGCGTTGTCACCCGTGGTTATATTAGTAGTATATTTGTAGCACTTATGGGTCGGCTCGACCGGGGACGGAACACGCTCTCACAGAATACCAGCGTGAAATAGTAGCTTAATGCTGCTGTGTTTCGTATAGCGAGTGTAGAGAAACGGCTACCATTTTTACTGGAAACGATGCATTCCATCTTGGTCCTCATGGGTGACAACGCATCTGCATTTTAATTCGTAATCGAGGATAGATGTAGATGTCTATGGGCCACAGCAACCACTTACCATCAGGTGGACTGTGTGCTCGTTTGTCACCCTATCCTATAAAAAAAATCGTACAGTGGTCCCGTTTTGGCGTTTCATACAAGTAGGGTTTTCGAAAAATCAAAGTATCTGTTTTCCTAGTTTTACTTTAGATTCTTATTTGGAAGCGCCTTTTAATATCACATATTTATCGGTATACCGATGGAATGATAAAACGTACAAAAATTAATGACTTATTTTTTCAATGTATGGAAAAAATATTTAAACCCGATTTGCTCCAATATATGTAAAATACCTGTCGGTGAAAATACCTACATTTAATAACTTCTTTTTATTAATTTCATTATACATACTTACATACAATACTTAATTTTAATTTAAAAAAAAATAGAGATATCTGATGGGTTTTTTTTTCAATCCAAATTTCCAGAATATGGTGATATTTTACTCTGGATCTAGTGACAAGATAATTTGTAAGGTGGCAACTCTGCCTGAACCTTGTTCTCTGCCGCCCAATCAATCAGTCTCGCTCCGGCTTTCGAACGGGAAAGCTGTGTTGATTACGTTCAGAATACACATTACGCAACAGGACGACGTAAAATGGAAATGAGAAATAACCGTAATAAAAATAAGAAGCGACTGGGTTGGAGTAAAGAAACAGACATAAATGTGATAAACCTAATGAAATAAGTATATCTAACGACCTATCTACTTACAATATTAGTGATTATAAACATGTCGGTAAAAAGCATACGACGCGCGGGGAAGTGGGGCGAAATTAGAATTTGAGTCGAGGTAGTATAGGCGCTTAATAACTTATGCTGTAGAGATTTCATACGGTTTTCTAATTCGCTACCGGAGTACTCTTATAGGTTTTTTTTTTTATAGAATATGGGTGACAAACGAGCACACAGTCCACCTGATGGTAAGTGAGTTTTGTAGTGTTTTGTGGATGGCCACATCTACATCTATACTTTGTTAAAAATCGAAATGCAGATGCGTTGTCACCCCTGAGAACTAAGATGGAATGCCTCGTTTCCAGTAAAAAGGTTGCCGGGTTCTCTACATTCACCATATGCAGCACAACGGCTTAAAATAGCAGCACAACACAATAGCGTTAATCTGCTATTTAAGCTGTTATTCCGTGAGAGCGTGATCTTCCTTCGGTCGACCGTAGTACTATATTACTATATAGCTGCAGCGTGGCTTTACCACGTAAAAGAAAAGATAGATTTCATACACTTATCACATTTCCGAATTCGCTATTTTTATGGATTAATGAAAGTACGACGACGCAGGTGTAGCAACACGCAATATAAAATGAAACAAAACGATATTTAGATTAATCTTCATGCATAAATTATGAATACACAGTACACGACTGTGTATTGCCTTGCTTCTATAAAAAAAGTATATTAAAAAATCGTTATCTATACACAGTACTTTTCGTGCCTAGTGTGTATCGTGCGTCATAAAGTAGAATAATAATCGAGGAATAAATAAATTTGACAGGGAACTGAAAATAGGGCTCGTTTATAAATTAAAATTTGTTGACACTAATGTAACCGACGTCGAGAGCCCTAGGTTTGCGCGTCATACGGAGTTATTAATAGAGAATTATTTTCAACGCAATACAAAAAACGAGAATTATATTTATTTATTCTCTATGGCACCAAAGATTTTATACAAAAGGCGAGATTAATGCTATATGTATATGACATTCTCTACCAGCTATCCTTCGTTCGAACAGAAAGTGGGTTACGAGAGATAGGTTGCCGTTATCAAATTCAACAATTTAATTAAAATATTTATGTTTTTAAGCTATTGCATAGCTTCTATCGCGGGCCTTGAGCGCGGGGACCGAATCCAGAAATTCCGTAACGAAAAAAACCTCACGCTCCCCACTCCGACGGGCACGGAGGTGTGGCTTGAAGGCCGTGCATTGTCTAACGTCGTTTCTTTTGGGCAGTCTTCGACACGGTGTTGATAAATATTCCTGAATAACTAACAGCTACTGTAAGATAATAAAACCCACATGTATTGTAAAATAATAAAAATATTTTAAACAATATTAAATTTTTATTTATTTAATAAAAGAAAAAAAAATTGTTTTCTTATCGGTCACCACTCTCATAAAGTGTAACTTGAATTAATATCAAAGAAAAAGAAATACTGCATAAATAAAATAAATAAAAAATAATTATAATTGCATAAGTTGATACAAAATGCTATGCAATAGCTTTACCGCGGCAGTCCCCGAGTGCCACACGTCTTTTTTATTTATAGAATAAGGGTACGAGCACACATTCCATCTGATAGTAAGTGGATGCTGTGGCCCATAGATATCTATATTTATCCTCGATTGATAATCAAAACGCAGATGCGTTGTCACCCCTTTTTTTTTTTTTTGTTACA